TCTCTCTCTCTCTCTCTCTCTCTCTCTCTCTCTCTCTCTCTCTCTTGCTTCCTATAGAACTTCCCCCCTACCCCTTTCTTCCTCCCTCCCTCCCTCCCCTTGTGTACAACTAGTAAATACATTGGAATGAGCATCATTTAGACTGATAAAATATAAGCAGAAGATCTGAAGGAAAATAATGCACAGGAGTACACCCCCCTTTTACTTTGCCTCCTTTAAAGCAAGCCAAAAAAGGGATATAACGCATTTATTCTGCTCCACGTTGCTTGTATAGAGGTAAATACTAAATACTGTTTCATTGTCTGCAACAGAGGTAACGCTCAATTGATTTTGGATCTACTCATCTGGGTGGAACAGGGGCTGTTGTGGTGCATATCTAACACAAACTCTCTCTCTCTCTCTGGCTGCCCAAGGCAACTGGTGATTTGGTCGCCGTTGGCCTGGACTTCATAGGGGCTGACGGCACGACCAGTCCGCGGCACGGACCCTTCTCTCCAATCTGCCCAGCTTTCGGAGCCGGCGGTGTGTCGCGGTTCGTGATCGAAGGCCCAGTCTCCACGGTTTTCGGAAGCACGCATTTAGGCTCCGATATGCGGTCTTCTGGATGCACAACCGGCTCTCTCTCTCTCTCTCTCTCTCTCTCTCTCTCTCTCTCTCTCTCTCTCTCTCTCTCTCTCTCTTGAATGCAGCGTCCATCCATTCCATATCACAGGGAGTCCCCATCTCTTTAGAGTCGCATGACGTGTCTGTCTCATGATTGTCTCAGCTAATCTCCTGGTTGTCTGTTGGCCCTAGATGCGTGCCGTGAAATGGTATCCGCTCCTAGGTTCTCTCCCTCTCTCTCTCCCTCTTGCTCAGCCTTTCAGCTTTTACTATCGCCACACCGAACTACTCGCGGCCTCAAACAAATTGTTTCATCAGCTGCGAGCACCGTGGATACTGACATTCACCGCCAATGACCCTCCTTCACATCTCTCTCTCTCTCTCTCTCTCTCTCTCTCTCTCTCTCTCTCATGGATACTGACATTCACTGCCAATGAGCCTCCTTCACATCTCTCTCTCTCTCTCTCTCTCTCTCTCTCTCTCTCTCTCTCTCTCTCTCTCTCTCTCTCTCTCTCT